TTTTTGTTGACCTTTGTCCATGGAAGGTCCCTGCAAAATTTCATTGAAATTGGTTCAGGGGTTTTGGAGAAGAAGTCGAAAATGTAAATTGTTTACGGACGCACGACGGACGACGGACGACGACGGACAAAAGGCGATCGCAATAGGTCACTTGAGACTTTGTCTCAGGTGACCTAAAAACAATATATAAGGGAAAGGACGAACCAACGCAAATCAAAAGTTACCATACGTCGTCATTTTGAGACGAAACAACTAAACAAGAGCATTCCACCAATCACCTACCATATATTTCCTACACAATTCAGGACTGCCTGTTTCTCAGACATCCTTCTTTACTGGCCTTTAAGCATATCTATAGGTGTAATTAAACCATTAATTACGGCAATCGACAAAGGCCGCAGCTCTGCATGAAACCAGTCAATAAAACGTCAGGTTTACTTGTGAATGGTTGTCTCTCCGTCACAAATCACAGGTTTCTTAATTATACTGTATATTGGAAGTCAGACGGTGAAATTATACCTGTACACACATAAAGTAAAGAAACATAACTAAAAAACCTTTCAATTTTAAATTTGTGAACTTGTAATTTATTCGTGCTAATTGACTTAGCGATGAGAAAAGTGTAGTCCCTATTTTGGAGCTGGCACACGTATTTAACATAAGGTGTAATTGTACTTTATATATCCAGGCCGTGTTATTTTAATCAGCTTAAAAGCACGCTAACTAAACTATTGAATTTGTTCCTTACGATAAATAAATCTTATTTCATATTGTGTGTATATTTGAATGACATTGGATTCCGGTATTTACATACTTAGCTATGTATTTTAGGGAAAGAATGAAGATTAATTACCAGTAAAATGTGACTTGATCGCACAGCTTAACAAATCAACATTCTTTGTTTCGATGCACATTTCTTTTATTTCGATTGCGTGTTATGGGGGAATGAAACGATTGCTTGTACATCAAATCGTAATATGAGTTGAATGTAAACAACCTTGATCCAAAGACGTTGTGTATTTTTAAGTTTTGTTTTTGACTGGTACATGTATGTGATACATTTTTGATATATCAATTATCATTAATTATTTAAACAGCTAGTACGTTAACCTCTTTAAAATGAAAATGAGGACATGGAGTCCTTGAATAATAATAAATATTGTAGATGATATATGATGAGTTCCCATTGAATACCATATATATTTCACGAGTATGGCAGAATGCCGATAGTTTTTAAGAGTGCAGAGCACGAATGCATTCAGTCTAACAATTTAAATATATAAGGTGTTAAACGGAGAAATCGTATTTTTTTATTTACACTACATTTTTAAGGTATCGCTAAGGAAATAATGCTGCATTTAAAAAGTACGGGAATTAGAAGCGTAATATGTGACGCTGACGACAAGTGATCCTATCATATTGAAGAGATTACTCAACACAAATCTTTCGTTTGCGGCTATTATTTGGTAAGATTTCCAAAGATGGATCATTTGAATAGTTTAGTGGTCTACAGGTTTGTAGCAAAGGTTTACTAAAATAACAACTTATTCTACCGTCGCCTTATCTGGTTCCTCAGTGGTTGGAAGTAATGTCATTGGTCAGTATTAGAGGTGTAATATCTGCATTGTGAAGATATTACTTTGGTATATCTTCACTACAGTGAGGATTTGACTCTTTATCCTAAGGTAATTTTTGAAATTTCACAATTAAAATTAAAATTAAAATAAAAAATAAAAATTGTGATATTTATCACCCTGATAATTGACATCGACGATAAGTACAAAAAAATGTCATCGTCATAGATTTCGTCTAGTGTGCGTGTGCTACCACACACGACAAAAGACAAGCCTGGTTACATCTAAGTGGTAGAGCATTAACAATATAAGGTATTCATATAACCATTTTTTCCCAATTTCATGATAGGTTGATCCATTTAGAACATCTTAAGTAGATTTTTTTTTTTAATTTAACCAGCACAATAAATCTTTTAAATCTGGTAGTCTTGTACAATTGGGTTATAAATGGGCCGGGCTCTCCTTAATGTAATCCTCTCCTCGGGAAATAAATGTAACTTCGTGTGCTGTTAATATCAACAGCCGTACGCAGATAAAAGATCTACAAGTACTTCTAGTGTCACTTTCTACAGATATAGGACTAAAGTAATAAAGGACAAACTAGGTAAAAAATGTGTCAAAGTGTCAAATAGGAACTTAACAATGCCATAACTAGACAACTATAAGAGAACAAGAGGAAGACTTTTTTTAAACTGACGCCATTATCAAAAAGATTGACAAATGAAATAACGCCCAGAATGTTAATCACTTGTGGGCAACCTAACAGTTTTAACAACTACTGGTAGGTTTATTGAATATATCGAGAATGAGAAAACCTATAGTGTATGTGGGAGAAACACTGTTCCCCACAGGTATTGATTGTCAATGTCAGTACTCCTATTCGAGTACTTTCTTATTAAGACTGGCAACAATTGTATTGGGTAGGCATTGTAGCGGTGTTAGTTTAACTGTTTACACGCTAAATTAGTTGTGTGTGTGCTTGATTTAGTAATTGACGCAGGAAACCAAAACTGTCAGTATACTGCCTACACGTCGCTTTGTCGACAGTACTTTAACGTCCTCAGTCCGTCCAACAAAGAGACTGACAATTGGTTTGTTAATGTATTATTTATTTTCCTTGTTTATAAGACACTAACTTAAAAGAAATATGATAGCTGGCTGCTACGATTCGTTCATTATGTGTCATACATACTTTATGGGGTTAGAAAAAAATGCATAAATAATCATAATACAATGTAAATTTATGAGATAATAACTGTATTAAAAATGTTATTAATCTCATAACATGGTAAAAGAACTTTCACTTGATGCATGAATATTAAAACATAAATAGAATAAAATTGTACGAAATAAATACATATACATACATGTTGAGCACTATCGAGTGTACAAGACTTACATAACGGCGTATTTAAGGAACAATTTGACAGTATATCTTGTTTGGAATTGTTCTGACAGTTTAACTTTGTTTACATCCAAATTAGATTTATCATGCTTTACACAGCGTCGCATTGTTTGTATACATTTATCTCAGTACATCCCTCTCTCTGAAATATTTGTACACACCAACACACATGTCACCTTTTGACCCTACTCTCCGACGCTGGCCGATTAGGTAATATTCTGGCATTCACTCTCGTGCCAGAAGTCAAAGGTCTAGAAGTGTTCGAGGCGGGACGAGCGCTCTGTACTCGACCTTTCTTTTTCTTACCATCTGACTTAGAAGGTAGTTTGTAAAAACTGGGATGTGTCATGTTCATGGCAATTGCTCTTTTACTCCACATAACGTTCTTACACTGCATTGAACCGTCCTCCTGGGCCACTGGCACCATGCCATACCTCTCATAAAGGTCCTGTCGTGCCCTATCTAGGTCCGTCATACAAGTCAAATGATGACGTACCATCGTCCATTTAAGTTTTGATTCTTTTGTATTTTCGGCAAGAGCAGTTTCTTTAACATCTCTACGTAACAGTTTCCAACCTCGTTTAGCTCCTTTTAATTCTGACCTCATATTTTCCATGTCCTTTGCTTTGGCTGCTTCCTGTGTCTGTTCATCCTCTTCCTCCTCCTCCTCAGCTTCCTCATCCGCTTTTTTGGCGGCGTTATTAAACAACCTGGATGCCATACCGGACACATTCGTTAATCGGCTGATTTTTTCTTTAAGTAAGGTATAACTCTTTGCCCGTCCATATTCCGTATTACCGAACATATCCGTCATCACATCCTTGAAGTCCTCACTTCCCTTAAAGTTCGGTCTGGGTTTAAGTGTCATAGTGTCCGTCTGATCGTTAATTTTAATAATGGAGTCCTCGAACGTGGACCAGAACGGCTGTGGAGGAGGTTCCGGAGAACCTGCCTCCGAATCGAAATCTGAATCTTGAAACTCGCTGTCTGAATGATCTAGACTTCGCCCCGTGTCTCCCATATTGCTCTTTGGAGTCATGCTTCTTCTACTGAACAAGTTTGTGGTCTTTTTCAGTTTTTTAGAATGTAACTGTTTCGACGACTGTGATGAGGATAAAGCGTCACGATCACTAGAAGAGTCGTTTAACACTTTGGCATTAGAAGACTTTAGTCGAGAGAGTATACTGTTTTCTTTCGGCATAGATTTCTTACTATTGTCATTTGGAACGGAGAGACCTGCCTTGAAATTATCCAATAAGGAATTTGATAGAGAAGGTGACTTCTGCGTTTCCGCAGAAATCACAGCCGACCTAGTACGTGTTGACTGTTCTCTGGTATCGCTGTTGCCGTTTACTTCCTTAGCTTGCTTGAGTCTCGATAACAGCCCCAACATAGGAGGTGGGGAGGAACTATCCTGAGAGGACCCCTCCTTCATAAAGTTATTTAGCAGCATGGGGTTCTTCATGGTTTCCTCTGTAGCGTTGCTACTTTTTGCCAGTAAATGAGCCACTCCGGGCATCGCGGTTATTAAGTACCATAGGCAGACATATGCCTGTGTATCGAACTCCACTTAAAACCCCTTTGACGTCACCTCATAACAACGATCCATTCGAATTCAATACTTCTTATTGCCATGAACGGGTTTTTTTCACTCAATAGAAAGTCCACTTCATCGATGGGATCAAAAACAGTTTGCAATCACTAACTATTCTTGAATGCCACTGTTTCAATGAGTGTTACCATTCCAGTTACGCCGAACTGTGTACACTTATAACTTGTAGCGCTCGATAGAACTGTAACCGACCGTCAATATTGACTTAGTGAAAATCGCTGTTGTGTGTTCATGCCGGAACCATTTATACATCCGTTCCTAAGGAGTACTGTATCACATTACTGAATGGGGGAGGTAGTCTGTCCTACAGCCTTCGTTTACCGTCCGTATAGGTGTAGTGAGACTCGCACTGTGAATGTTGTAGGACTAACATGGGCCTTTAATAGCCAGCACTATTTAAGTTTACTACGCGTGTGTATCAGTACAATACAACAACCATGTGTATGACAAGCTTTGTAAACGCTACAGGTACCAGGCCTTAATACCCGCTCAATGCTATATTTTCTTTCGTTTTTATCTTTAGGCAAAGTAATCTGTCTTAATTTCGGATCCAATGGGAATATTTTCTCACGCATGAATGAGCAAGATCACTTAAATATTTGTAAAAGCTGCCACCAATCAATTGTTACAGGCCGGTATTGAATGATCGGGACGCTATAGTACCCATTAGGACTACTATGGGGTCACGCGACTGTTGACCGGAACGGATTGTATACAGAAACGTTCTGTCAGAAGATGCAACGTTAACAATAATCCAGCCTCATACGACAATGTCACAGTCATCTTTTTTCTGCATACAGCAACGTGCCATTCATCGTTTTGCGTCAAAATTACCATTTCATGCGTTTAATTATTCATCACAGTTTAAAATATAATGAGTAATGCAAATAGGAAATAAAGTTTGTTTTATTCAAGTACAAAAAAGTAAAAACATATCTTACCTATCATTTGTTAATGCGTTCAGTCTCATTATTCTCTATATTTATGTTCTTTCCTTTCACTATGGTTATTAGCGAAATAGGTATCGTTAGTATTGATAGCAAGGTATTTGTATGTATAATTAGATTTTGAACGTGCTTTAGGCTTTGTTGAAGGTTTGTTAAGGTTAATTGTCACTTGATTATATTATAAACATATTGTTCTTTAGCAAAAGTTGCAATGGGAAAGGGAAAACGATATACACATACAAACTGTGTTATTACCTCGTCATTTCAAAGTTAATTTCTGTCATACCAGCTTATAAGATACGGCCCATGACCGTGAACAATGCTCTTTTCATACCAAGGCGACATCGCGATACCTGTAAAATGAAATATTCACATTTGACAAATTAGATCATGTTCATAACATATCAACGTGTAATAAGCAATATCAATCTCAACTTTAATTTTGTTTCCTTTCCTCACTTTACCTACGTGAAAGAACTAATTTCGAGATACCATAAAGAAAGAAATATGCCTTAACTCAATGACCGTAGTCACTGGTTTTGAAATGTTATATCACCCGCGATGTCTAGAGGTCGTGGAGAAAAAATACATTGTTCCTACATTTAGACATGAGTGATCTATGTTTTCTATTCTCTCTAACCTCAAATTGTCTTTTGTTTTCTCCCTAGACACCTTAAGGTAACGGATTGACATATATTGTGTCTACATGACATGATATTGTGTCCATGGTGTGACTTTGCAGTGGCCGAGGCGAATACATTAACGAAACGAACTTTGCTAACGTAACACAACGAAGACAAAATGACGAAACGTCTGCAACATGATATTCGCAGAGAGGCAGTGGACTCAATAGACTACGATATGTGATCCTGTATTACAGGTTCAACTAGAACAATAGAGCTGGCACACGACAGCTGTGCATACTCAACCCATCTGTGACGAATAGGTCATTGTTTTTGCCAGATCTACTCGTTGACTTAAGTCAGTATATAACACTCATCTCATTTATAACTTATCGCGGTTTCAGTTTTTTAAATGCACTTGAAACGCATTCCGTAAAATCCACTTCTGAACCATTTCGTTGTTTGCATGTAGCATCCAATATGGTTTAGGTAGGTAGTTCTCGACATTAACAAAAGATGTACTTCTTTCAGTCATTGAACTCTAAGTGGCAGGTTTTAGTCTGTCCTGAAAATGGTATCTCTTGTTTTAGTTGGCTTAAACGTTTGACCACTGTCATCGTTCTTCATCTGTGTTAAAACAAATGGTCAAATTTTCTCCTGAGATTATGTGGTTTGTTTATAACTATACAGATGTGACGTATTGGAGCCTGTATTATCAACGGCACAGTTTATATACCATTACATGCCTTTGGTAAATACCAGTATGTATCAAACTAAAATAGATTAATAAATATCACGAGGAGAAAATCGTGAGTAATTGAGTAGAGGATAACTACAATCAGTGTATTTTTATTTTATTAAAACATTTCCTTAGCGGGTTTTTTTCTTTCTATAATTTTATATGTGCATGTATTTCTTATGATATATAGTAGGGGCTTCAGAGTTGGGAAGCCCTTGGATCAGGACCCCACCTTGTCTATTTTTCTCACGTTAGAACCAAGCATTCAACCAAAAACAATTCATTTTCTAAATCAAAGCTCGCATTTTGGTTATTTATAATAAAGAGATTTTCATTTTTTTACCATTATGTTTATTTTACAAAAGTTATCTACAAACTTTTGCATAGAAATGAATAGGATATTATTCTTTTTCTTCAGCTGAGTTCCAAATAATCACGAACATTAGATGCACCATACATACCATAACTTAAGTCAAGAAAAATACAGTGATTTATTCTTATTTATAAGCATAAGTTATTTGGGTTTTCACATATTTTACATATATTACCTAAAGCTAATGGAAAAAGGGAGGCGACTCTTATAGAATTGTTTACTAATTCAAAGATCAAAATCACCGTCTTTGTGCTTATTTATTTCTTTACGGGGTACATATATTTAAATTCCAATAGATCATTATACTTTCATATCAAAGCTATGAATGACATCAATCATGGTTCAATAAATTGACCATTATAACTATATAATAGCACGGACTTTAATCTAATTCCGTGATAATAGGAAACGTTTACATATCTATAAATATAAATGAAAATTTACAAGAACCTTAATTTATATACTTAAATAAACATAAACCATATGAAATATGCATAACCAGTACACACCACCCACCCCTAGAATAATTGTTTCTTTGTCTGAAAATTAAAATCAAAAGTTCAAACCAGTAGAGTGACATATCTACCGATATATTTATGAGGTAATTCTTTTTTCTCACTGACATTTTCAAATAGTTAATCATAAATAGTCGTAATTAATATTTATCTCGTTTTCCCCCCTTTTTTAAATACATCTGAATTTCATTTATCTGGAAAACTCGCAATTCCATAATCATAAATTTAGGTTTTCACAGCAGATATTGTAAGTTTATGCTTGATAACAATTGACTGTCTTTGGAAACTTATACATTACACATACAATAAGTAATGCTGTATTAAATGTCGGTAGTCGTGACGATGATGTGACTGTGTGTGGTCCATGATAAAAAAAGTAATCAAGTTTGTTATCAGTCTGTCATCGTTCTCATGTACATGAAACAGAGATATTGGCGACAATACCGCAGCTATAAAGTAAATATCTGATAGATTGTTTCGTGAAGATATATATATATAATATATAAGTTTGTTTTGATTCTCATGCTGATTATTTATAACCATAAAAATATTTGAATGGTATAGTACATTTGTATGTTTAAAGTAAATCATTGAAATAGGTTATTGGTCTTAAATATACTTTTTTATGTAAGAAATGTCTTTCACAAAGGGATTTATTACCTTTTCCATATAATTGATTGCCGAAGTCTGATATTTGACATGTTGTATTCCTATCGTTGAAATAGGAAAAAAACTTTTGAGGAGATCTTTTTCTTGTAATAAAACACAAAGTACATATGTAATTTACTGGATATCCTGCATTTCAAGTGTCTTACATCATAAAACCTAGATTAAAGGAAAACTACAGAGATTATCGTCAAACATGAAGAACTCCATTTTCTATCAATTGCTAACAATATGACTGAACGCAATAAAACAATTGGGGAGGACTTGAAAAATAAGCACTGAGTAAGTTATATTCCGTCTTTGCGAATTGCAGAGTTATCTTCTCTTGTGAGCAGGTATTGATTGTTACGTCATTGGTTTGTGTGAGAAAATGACGTCTTTTTCTCAAAAATTGATGACGTTAATCTCACAAACAAATGACGTAGCAACCAATCCCTGCTCACAAGTGCAGATAACTCTGCAATACGCAAAGACGGAATAACTGATGGGTTGGGTGATTTGAACTGGTCAAAAAAATGTAAGAAATGTAAGAATTCAGAACTCGATAGTCAGTAAGAATGCAATCGAAAAATGAAAGGTGTTATGCCAAACGGTTTTAGTTACTCAAGGGAAATATTTGATAAGTATATTTCGTCTATTTCGTTATTATTATGTTGTAATTAAAACAAAAGCATGGATTCAATCATGAAACCTATCTGCTCCAAGCACTTCGTGTCATTTGTATATAACATTTCTTTAATTTTAGAAATTTACCTATTCTAGTTGAAAACATGCATGTATGTACATGTACGTAGATTGCTTTATAAAAAAATCAATGCAGCATTTGTTTAATTCTTTAGCTATACGTGTCAAACATGCTAGTGCGTATTAGGGATTTGTTTACTCTATTTGTTTCATTGAAATGCGTGCTGCGCATTCATTTTATTCAGCTTTGTACGCAGTATCACTTTAAATAACTTTATACAAACTAAATATCATATGCCATGTACATGAATTACTTATTTGGTAATGTGGAGCCAAAGTACGGAGGAATCACTCCGCGCTTCATTGAATTTGCATTTGGCCAGTTGGCATTCATGTTGCTTATGAACGCCAACTGAAAGCAGCCCAATACTTGTATTTTCATTTTCCTCTTGCACTTATTATTATCAAATATTTAGTTCAAATAAATTTTTTATCATATAGCTTGTTCAGTGAATAGAACAGCGATCTGTCCTTTGGGATCTGTGTCTTTCTTTCTACATTTAAGTACTTTTTATTTCCTCGTGCCTTGCTTGGCAATACCTCAAGTTTGGGCTTAAAACGTTCGCCCAGATGAGGAAGGCAATGGGTTCTGTCCCTAGACCGGGATATATCAAAGTCCTTAAAAATGGTAGTTGTAATTCACTGCTTAACGTTCAGCATTCAGGGGAATGGCAACAACTGGTTCACCCGTTAACTTTGTCAGTATAATGTGACCGGGCGAAATGCTGTGCTGGATGCCTTCGGCATGGTATTTCGGTGTGATAGCACTATAACATCTGCATCAGATCTGTGTTATCACATGGAGGCAAGCACAC